GGTTCACCCTCCAATGGCCGCCGCTGCAGCCGGCGCACCGCGCTGATCCGATGGCAGGAGCCAGGAGCCAGGTGCTTTTCCTGGTCTCCCATGGGGTGCAGGGCCCAAGCACCTGGGCCATCCTCCACTGCACTCCCTGGCCATAGCAGAGAGCTGGCCTGGAAGAGGGGCAACCGGGACAGAATCCGGCACCCCGACCGGGACTAGAACCCAGTGTGCCGGCGCCGCAAGGTGGAGGATTAGCCTATTGAGCCACGGCGCCGGCCTAATTTCCTGGTTTTTTATTCCATCATCTATATACTGTCTGTGAATTCTTCTATACATTTTTAGTCAGCTTCCCTTCCCATATACCTTATTAGCTATTTCCAACCACCATTTAGCCTTTCTACATAAAAGTTACTGCTTCTATCCCTTACCCTTACAAATATCCCCTCCTAACTTGTGGCAATCATCCATTCCAAACTTACCTATACTGACTCTTTCGGATCTTAGAGGAAAAAGTATTCTTTCTCCAATTCCAATCCAATACTTTAATTTATCGACCGTGAAACAAGAAAAACAAAAAACCAGCAAGACTCATTAATTAATGCTCCTGTTCAGGAACTCTGCTCCATAATTTATTTCCCATCTAACCTGTACAATCTCTTGGTTTCTGTCATCTAGCCAACAAATGTATTTTAAGATCTCCCAAACTTAAAGAATCACTTCATATTTTACCTTTTCTACTTACCAACCTTCTTCCTTTCCTTCTTAGTGAACAGTCAACATTCTACTTCTTTACCTCCCAATCATTCCAAACCTCCTTTCCTAATGCTTTATGGCTGTGTGGTCATCTGAAGCTATTTATCAAAATTAACACAGTGACACAGGACTACAACCAATGAAGAAAATGGAGAAACTTTTGATTCCACAAAAACCACAATCTTGTCTATGAGTATTGACAGAAATTGGACTACAAGAGAAATCTGACTGCGTTTCTCTGTGGTGCTAATGTGAAGAAGAGGGGAAACTACGTAAACAGTAAGCTGCCTAAAATTTTTACCAACGTGAGCAGGGGATGAGTATCTTGCACCTATCCATGTACTTAAAGTGCTTAAGAATCACATTTATGTGCTGATACAGTATTTTTGTAGATTTATTTATTTGAAAGGCAGATTTACAGAGGCAGAGGCAGGGAGATAGAGAGAGAGGTGTCTCCCATCCACTGATTCACTCCCCAAATGGCCAGAGCTGCACTGGTCAGAAGCCAAGAGCCAAGAGCTTCTTTCGGGTCTCCCATGTGGGTGCAGGGGCCCAAGGATTTGGGCTATCCTCCACTGCTTTTCCAGGACATAGCAGAGAGCTGGATAAGAAGTAGAACAGCCAGGACTCTAACTGGAAGCCATATGGGATGCCGGCACTGAAGGCAGCAGCTTTACCCACTAAGCCACAGCGCCAGGCCTGGTGATATAGTATTAAGCCTGGTTACTAACATTCCCTTCACTCTATTAACTTCTATAGGAACTAAATAAAAACCTAGTCTACAATGTATTTTTTTAAAAGATTGATTTTATTTATTTGAAAGAGTTACAGAGAGAGGCAGAGACAGAGAAAGAGGTCTTCCATCCGCTGGTTCACTCCCCAGATGGCCGCAACGGCTGGAGTTGTACCAATCTGAAGCCAGGAGCTTCCTCCTGGTCTCCAATGTGGGTACAGGGGCCCAAGGACTTGGGCCATCTTCTACTGCTTTCCCAGGCCATAGTAGAGAGCTGGATTGGAAGAGGAGCAGCCGAGACTAGAACTGGCGCCCACATGGGATGCTAGCACTTCAGGCCAGGGCTTTAACCCCCTGCACCACAGCGCCAGCCCCTACAATGTATTTTTTTAAACTCATCTACTATATCTAGTTTTAGCATCTTTTAAAGCAAAAACAAACAAAAAAAATACACAAGGAACTCAAAGACTAAATATTGGGTTTTGAGACCTTGACTCAACTACTTAACTTTCTCACCTATAAAACAGGGTTACACTCTACTGTTCAGTTTAATTGTGAGGATGAAACAAGGTAACAAATGTAAAAGCACTTAGGGGACTGGCAGTGGAAAATGGCTCAGGTCCTTGGACCCCTGCACCTGTGTGGGAGATCTGGAAGAAGCTCCTGGCTCCTGGGTTCAAATCAGCTCAGCTCTGGCCACTGTGGTCATTTGGGGAGTAAACCAGCGGATGGAAGATCTCTCTCTCTCTCTGTAACTCTTTCAAATAAGTGAAATAAATATTAAAAAAAAAAAAAGCACTTAGCACAGTTTCTGGCATATATTAAATACTCTCTTTCACCTTATCATAGTGCCAAAGTTCCAATAAGCATACAAGAAAGAGTAAAAGTGTATCCAAAAAAAAAAAAAAAAAAAAACCCGAAGTATTAACTTTGTGAACCACAGAAAACATGACAAAAGCACCATCTGTTCAAATGAAAAACTTCCATTAGAAACAAGTTAGAAGCCAGCATTGTGGTTTAGGAGGTAAAGTCGCCGCCTGCGATGATGGCAGCCCATATGGTCAAAGGTTTCAGTCCTGGCTGCACCACTTCTAATCCCCTGCTAATGTGCCTGGGAAATCAGCAGAAAATGGTCCAAGTGCAATGGGCCCACGCCATCCACGTGGGAAACCCAGATGAAGTTCCTGGCTTTGGCTTAGCCCAGCCCTGGCCACTACACCCATCTAGAGAGAACCAGTGGATGGAAGATCGATCTCTCTTTCTAACTCTGCCTTTCAAATAAATACATAAACCTTAAAAAAAAAAAAAAATAAGAAGAAACAAACAAAAGTCAGTAGAAGACATGGGAATAGTTTGAGGGAAGTCAACTAGTAAATTGCTCTAAGGTGTACAGATTAATATAAGTTAATAAAATGCGGAGATAGCACACACCAGCTGCCAGTAGTGAGGTTTAAAAAGACAACCTAATTTGTCCTGCTTTAGGAGGAATGGACAGTAACTTCAATATACAAAATTTCCTTTGATGTACACAAAAGTCAATCAATGTAGGCCGGCGCCGCGGTTCACTAGGCTAATCCTCTGCCTAGCGGCGCCGGCACACCGGGTTCTAGTCCCGGCTGGGGCGCCGGATTCTGTCCCGGTTGCCCCTCTTCCAGGCCAGCTCTCTGCTATGGCCAGGGAGTGCAGTGGAGGATGGCCCAGGTGCTTGGGCCCTGCACCCCATGGGAGACCAGGAAAAGCTCCTGGCTCCTGCCATCGGATCAGCGCGGTGCGCCGGCCGCAGCGCGCCGGCCGCAGCGGCCATTGGAGGGTGAACCAACAGCAAAGGAAGACCTTTCTCTCTGTCTCTCTCTCTCACTGTCCACTCTGCCTGTCAAAAAAAAAAAAAAAAAAAGTCAATCAATGTATCAAAGGGAACTGGAACAGAGGGAGGGTTTTCCCTAAATCTAGTAACAATAGTAACAGGCATAGGGCCCTCCGCTGTGGTGTAGCAGCTTAGTGACTAAAGTTGCAGCCCCTGCAGTCCATAGGAGCGCCAGTTGGTATCCAGGCTGCTCCACCTCTAATCCAGCTCTCTGCTAGCGCCTGAGAAAGCTGTAGAAGATGGCCCAAGTCTTTGGGCCCCTGCACCAGTGTGGGAGACCAGGAAGAAGCTCCTGGCTCCGGATCAGCTCAGCTCCAGGCATTGCGGCCAATTGCAGAGTGAACCAGCGCATGGAAGACACCTCTGTCTCTCTGCCTCTCCTTGTCTGTGTAACTCTGACTTTCAAATAAATAAATAAATATTTAAAAGATAATAACATGCATGACTAAAACGAAGCTCCTTCAAGTTTTTAAAGGAAAAAAAAAAACTTTAACTGCTAGAATCGGTGCCAAACAGCTGGATTTAGTAAAACACAGCAAGTCAGCTGCTAATTCTGAAAAAAAAAAATTATTCAAAGGGTGTAGAAAGTGGGCAACTTTCCCAATAAAACCGCCATAAAAACACTATACTTATATAAGAACGTACACATCTGTTGAGTATCAATTTACATTATTCTAGCCAACTTACAAATCAAGAAGAAGTACTTCAGAACTGAAAAATAAAGCACATTCTACTTCTGGTCACATTTTGCATGATGGCTACTGGAGACTGGGAGTTGTCCACCCCGATTCCAGGCAAGAACTGAATAATAAAACCAGTGTTCACATTCAAATGTGGGAGGGGAGAGGAAACGGGAGGCTCTGCGTCCCTAAGTTCTCCTCCCTCTCAAAGCACTGCACAAACAGTCCACGTCTGAAGACACTCACCCTTGAAACTCCTTGGACAGTGGCTTGAGAAAACTTGCTGCTCAGATTTTTGAGGGGGAGCACTTTAGGAATGCTACAAGTCTGCGACTTTCAAATACGCGGACATAATTTAAACTACGTACACCCCCCCCCCCCAGAATTTTTCCTCCCTTCCTTTTCAGTGAATCAACATTCTCACAAGAGGAAAATCCCCAACTATAAATTTTAAAAAAACCGAAGCCTTAAAGAACGTGCAAATCAAGCACAAAGACTTCCAATAATCCCTAAAACTCCCTCGCGACTGGGAAGTGAAAGGAGGAACGAAGGACAGGACATTTAGGGAAGGAAAAGGCGGCGAGATGAGAAAGTAGGAAAGGGCGGGAGGAGGAGCAGAGCAGCAAGTCCAGCTGATGCTGACACAATTTGGGAGGAAAATACTCCGAAGACACAGGCCGGGGGTGAGGGGCACGGGGCGCAACAGAGGAAGTCCCCGCACAAGGCCTACCCCCGAGGGGGTCCGCGGTCGAGACGGGACACCTGAAAGGGGGCCAGACTCATCAAGAAGAAAGATCGAGGTCCCCCAGCGAGGAAGGCAGAGGACGTGGCGATACGGCATCTCTACCCCCGCAAGGCGGATGCCTCGAGAGCGCTTAGGCTACGCGGCGTGAGGGGTTAACCGCAGGGGTTCGCAGACGTGGAGGGGGTGCGGCCCCGGGGGTTGCGGCAGGAGAGCCGGGAGCAGGCCCACGGTCCCTACCTTGTAGTAAACATCGAACTGGATGTTCTCGGGCAAGGAGCGGATGTCTCGGCGGGAACGGATGTAGTTGTCCACGACAGCGGAGATGGCGGTGTTATAGAGAGTCTCTGGGATCCACTCTAGTTCCACGGCCGCCATCTTCCTTCCCTCCTCCTCCGCCTCCTCCGCCTCCTCCTCCCGAAGGCCCCCGCCTCCCTCCGTAGCGAACTCTTCTGCGGCCCCGGAGGATTCTGAGGGCGGTGGCAGCCACGCGGGCACACGGCAGAAGGGCACGGCCGCCCTGGCACCTGCGGGAGCGCGCCTGGGGCCAGCGGCGGCGGACGCAGGCCTAAGCTACGAACGGGACAGGGAGCACCCGACAACAGGGCCGGAGCCTCACATTCCGGGTTTAAGAGGAACCCGGGTTCCGTCCCAGCGCCGATCTCTGCAGGGGCGGGACTGCGTGTGCGGCGTCATGACGTCAGAGCGCGCCGACGCGCCGGAGGGAAGGAATGCGGCAGGCGAGAAACTTGGGGAGAGGAGGGAGCTCTCTCGCACAGGGAACTTGTTTTCCGAGAGGTCCTGGAGTTCGGCGGCGGCAGACGGAGTTTTTACACGGGGAGAGTTTGTCACGGGGTTTTAAAATCGGTCTGGAGCCGTTCGGGCGCTCCGGCCCGGCCCCCTCCGTAGGTCCCGCCTCGGGCTGTACTGAGGCTCAGGCCGAAGTTGGGATCCTCTGCCCGCAAAGGTGCACAGTTAAACCCACCCTGGAAGTTACCTGCGAGCGGTGGGGAATTCGCGCGACTCCACAAGTGCTTTATCTTACGCTCCAGCCCTTAGCCCGAATTCAGAACCCGCTTGCTTCTCGTTGTGTACCTATTTGCCTCCTTTGAACTTTTTACCATGTCTCGTCATCCAAATACAATTTAGACATTTTTATAAAGCCAAAATAAGTCCTGCTCTAAAAGGAAGGTTAGCTTGATTATGGAATGACACGCAATGGTGAGAGGAAAGAAGACTAAGTGGGGACTGTGATAGCGCTTAATGGTAAGATAGAAAAGGTTTCCCGTTTTCTCCCAGAGTGGTACTTCTGGTTCGAAGGTACTTATTTCAGTTCCTTTCCTTCCTCAGCCTGAACATCTTCTATTCATGTAATTTCATCTTGTAAGCCTGCAATTTGAAGAATTTGATGCAGCCTATTTCTGTTCCAGGAACTTAATGAAATTCTGGCCATAACTTTGAGTGACACTAGCCATCTTATTGGCACTCCTAACAGTTGAAACCCTGAATATGACAATAATAGTGTCTTGATGTTTAGAGATAAAGGGATTGAAAATTTACTCTTCTGCCTGATATTTCAGTGCTAAATGGTTTAGAATTCAGTGGAAACCAGAGAAGCACATTTAGTCTTTCAGCCTACATACATTTTTCTGTAATCTGGACATTTAGGAAAGCTGTAATTGGTCTCAAGAGTTGCCAGATTTAGCAAGCAAAAAATACAAATGCCCAATTATATTTCAATTTCATATGAACAGTGAATGGTTTTTAACTGCATCTAACTGTTCCGTACAATAGTTAAAGACATTTCATTTTGAGTCTCATAAAGACATCATTTGGGTCAGCAAATCCTGTACCAAGAGTTCTCAGACACAGATCCTTTTGAATCTCTGGTGGACGTTTGGGTCTCCTCCCCACAAAAGATGAGTAATTATCCTTTATCCATGCGAACGTTGAAGAGGACATACTGTATTCGACTTTTTTTTTTGACAAGCAGAGTAGACAGAGACAGAGAAAGGTCTTCCTTCCATTGGTTCACTCTCCAAACGGCCACCACAGGTGCGCGCTGCACCGATCCGAAGCCAGGAGCCAGGTGCTTCCTCCTGGTCTCCCACGCAGGTGCAGGGCCCAAGCACCTGGGCCATCCTCCACTGCCCTCTCGGGCCACAACAGAGAACTGGACTGGAAGAGGAGCAACCAGGACAGAATCAGGCGTCCCAACCACGACTAGAACCTGGGGTGGCCATGCCGCAGGCAGAGGATCAGCTAAGTGAGCCACGGCACCAGCCAGAAGAGGACATACTTAACACTGAAAAATAATTACATGTTCATCTGAAATTCAAATTTAATTGAGTGTCTGTATTTTATCCAGGAACCGTACCTTGAGGGATGCACTGAGTCCCTGAAATTGAATACAGATGTTCTAGGACGTTTTGCTAAATCAGGACCTCAACTCTAGTTTGGTAAACAAGTAAATTATGTGTTAGGGGCTGACGCTGTAGCACAGTGGGTTAAAGCCCTGACCTGAAGCGCTGGTGTCCATTATGGGCGCCAGTTCTAGTCCCAGCTGCTCCTCTTCTGATCCAGCTCTCTGTTATGGCCTGGGAAAGCCCTAGAAGAGGGCCCAAGTCCTTGGGCCCCTGCACCCATGTGGGAGACCCGGAAGAAGCTCCTGACTCCTGGCTTCGGATAGGCGCAGCTCCAGCTGTTGCAGCCATCAGCAGATGGAATACCTCTCTGTCTCTACCTCTCTCTGTAAATGTCTCTGTCAAATAAATAAAATAAATCTTTAAAAAAAGCATGTTAGACACACATATTGTTTGCTGTATGGAACTTAGATGCTGGTGGGCACACTTAAACATTTAAAAATACTAGGCCTATGGCCGGCGCCGCGACTCACTAAGCTAATCCTCCGCCTTGCGGCGCTGGCACACCGGGTTCTAGTCCCGTCGGGGCGCTGGATTCTGTCCCGGTTGCCCCTCTTCCAGGCCAGCTCTCTGCTGTGGCCAGGGAGTGCAATGGAGGATGGCCCAAGTGCTTGGGTCCGGACCCCATGGGAGACCAGGAGAAGCACCTGGCTCCTGCCTTCAAATCAGCGCGGTGCACTGGCCGCAGCACGCCAGCCGCGGCGGCCATTGGAGGGTGAACCAACGGCAAAGGAAGACCTTTCTCTCTGTCTCTCTCTCTCACTGTCCACTCTGCCTGTCAAAAAAAAAAAAAAAAAAAAAAACCAAAAAACTAGGCCTACATTGTGGCACAGCTGGTTGTCACGGCTTGGGAAAACTGCATCCCACATAGCGGTGCTGGTTCCAGTCCCAGATGTTCTGCTTCAGATCCAGCTCCCTACTAATGTGCCTGGGAAAGCAGCCAACAATAGATCAAGTGCTTGGGTCCCTGCCACCCACATGGGAGACCTGGATGGGGTTCCTACTCCTGACTTCAGCCTGGCCCAGGCCCGACTGTATAGCCATTTAGGTAGTGAACCAATCAATGCTAGATCCTGTCACTCTGCTTTAAAAAAATAAATAATCTGGCCGGCGCCGTGGCTCAACAGGCTAATCCTCCGCCTGCGGCGCCAGCACACCAGGTTCTAGTCCAGTCAGGGCGCTGGATTCTGTTCCGGTTGCCCCTCTTCAGGCCAGCTCTCTGCTGTGACCCGGGAGTGCAGTGGAGGATGGCCCAAGTACTTGGACCCTGCACCCCATGGGAGACCAGGAGAAGCACCTGGCTCCTGGTTTCGGATCCGTGCAGTGCGCCGGCCGCGGCGGCCATTGGAGGGTGAACCAATGGCAAAGGAAGACCTTTCTCTCTGTCTCTCTCACTGTCCACTCTGCCTGTCAAAAATAATAATAATCTGTCAAAAAAATAATAATCGTTTTTAAACATTTAAAAAATGTGTATAGAAGTAGAGGTTGCCACAGTAGTTAGGCTTGGGATGCCCACATCCCTTATCAGAATGTTTGGTCCTGCATCCGGCTCCACTTCTGATTACAGCTTCCTGCAAATGTGATGGCTCAGTATGTAGGTCCCTGTCACCAAGGCCAAGTTCCAGACTCCTGGCTTCAGCCTGGCTCAGTCCCAGCTGTTGCAGGCATTAAGTGAGTAAATCAGCAGATAGAAAATCTCTGTATATCTGTTTCTGTTTTTCTGCCTTTCAAATAAATATTTTTTAAATTTATGTAAAGAGAGATACAGAGGGAACTATGGACAAAAGGGCCTCTTGATCCCTTTTTCTCTGCTTTAAGATTAGAAGTTACAGGACCAGGCCAGCACTGTGACATAGCAGGTTAGCTGCCAGCTGCAATACCGAATCCAGTATCCCATATGGGTGCCTATTCCAGTTCTGGATGCTCTACTTCCAATCAAGTTCCCTGCTAATGCGCCTGGGAAAGCAGCAGAAGACAGCCCAAGTCCCCTGGTCTCCTACCCCTACATGGGAGACCTGGAAGAAATTCCTGGCTCTTTGCTTAAGCCTGACCCAGCCCTGGTCTTTGTGGCCATTTGGGGAGTGAACCAGCGGATGGAAGATTTCTCTCTGTGTCTCTTTCTCTCTGTTGCTCTGCCTTTCAAATAAATAAATAAATCTTAAAAAAAAAAAAGATTGTAAATGACTAAAATATATGTAATAGGCTGGGAAGCCTTGACCAAAGCAGACTGTTCAAAAGGTAAGGCCTCTGAGGAACAATTCATCTTGAGGGTTAGAGGAGTCAGAGCTATTGGGCTTGCATTTATACAAAAGGTCAAGGGTCAAGAAGGAACATTGACTCCAGATTTAGAATCCTCCTTCAGGAGTGTGGGTGTTTGGCCTAGCAGTTAAGATACGGATGTCTGCATTCCATATCACTGTGCCTGGGTTCCAGTCTTGGCTGTATTCTGGACTGGGTCCCAGGCTCCTTACCTGGGACCAACCCAGTCCTGGCCTGCCTGGACCCAGCCAGCCCAGGGAGTGAACCAGTAGGTGGGTACTCTGTCTCTCTGCCTCTTGAGTAAATAAATAAATAAACAATTTTTTAAAAAAAGTTTGGGCCCCCAAGAACTGACTGAACAGAGAAACTGATAGAAACTAGGTCATTTTTGTTATAGATTAGCTTCAACTAAGAGAAGAAATGTCATCTCCTACACTCCAAGAAACTAATGAGGCCTACCAGAGGTACGAATTGAATTCAGTAATTATGCTGTAGTATATACTATATGTCATTTCTTGTGTTCATCTATATCATAGAATATGAGTTTGCAGTGATCAGAGATAGGTCATGAAAGGTCTTATCTGTGATAATGATGGCCTTCGACCTTATCCTAGAGATTAGGGGGTTATATGCAGGAAAGTAAAAGGACTGTCAGATTTGTGGGTGAGAAAGGGCATAAAAAAGCCAGAAGATCTAAAATTATGCATTCCCAGCTCCAGAAGAATATAACATAGAGGAGGCCTGCTAAACTGTCAGGATCATGGCCACCTATGTATTTTGGTGGACAGACATCCTTTGTGTCAAAGTTAACTCTGAGTTATGCCAAATCCTTGATTTCCATCCAGTAGCCTCAAATTTGGTAGGTGGTCTTTTAAAAAATAAAAGATTTATTTATTTTTAAATATGTGTTATTTTATTTGAAGGGAAGAGTTACAGAGAGACAGAGAAAGAGGGAGAGAGAGA